GTTTGGCATTTATCAAAACCTATATGAATCAACACACGTTAGTTCGAGAACGTGTTTCCAACAGATACGATTTAGAGCAACTATAAATAGAGTCCTAAGGCCGGATTTCTAATGCACATAGAAAGATGGTCCTTTTATTAAGCATGATTACAATAATAACGTGATGATAGGATTTCCAGGTGACCATGACCTCGGCAGAATCAAAAATAAAGTGATGAACTATAACACTTTTTCTAATATGCAAAGGCAGTATACATGAGCATCCTAAGACAAGATTTCTAATGCAAATAACATAGACATATGACATATTTCTTATGCAAGCAACATAGTATATAGACCTAAAGCATGATTTCTATCATAATATAAACCCAAAGCATGATTTCTATTACAAATCCACATATATATAAACCTAAGATCATGATTTCTACTGCAAATCAACATATATATAAACCTAAAGCATGATATATACCCAGCTTTTCCACAAAATCATATGGGAACCCTCTCTTTTTACTAATTACCCCAATATCTGTTTACAAAGAATATTATTACAACAGCTTACAGGCCTTAGGGCAGTGTGTTTTTATGATAGGGTCTCTTGTGATGAACTTTGAGTAAGAATCGTAGCATTCTGACAAGGAGAAATGTCAACTTAAGGGTAATTTAGAAGGAACTCGGAGAAATAGGGTAGCTTGATAGTAGGTTAGATTAGCACAATAATGTATATAATCAGTTCTTTGGGTACTTATGATGTGGTGAGGCTTTACAGGTCTTTTGGTGGCACTACTCTTGGGTTTGGCGACTTGCTTGGCTTGGTTGAGTTAGAGAGATTCAGTCCTGATGGCTTGGTTATGTTCAAATAGGTTTCGAAGAGTACTTGATGGTTTCTATTACGGTTTGAGATAGATATTTCCTATCGACGTGAGGAGCATGTTGCCTATTGTGATTTTCTCTTGAATGGGGTCAAATTGAAGGGTTCTAACTGATCGGGTGTTTATTTTTCTAGTAAATCAGAGTTGATTATGATATTCTGGTACTTTTTATATGATGGCAATATATATGCATTCTGTGGGATTGAGATTCGCATGTAAAAGGTGACGGTTTAGTTTTGGAGTAAAGGTCATGAACTTTGAACAACACAGACGAATTCAGACGTTTTGTGAATGCTATTTCTACTTGGTATTGCCTGTGAAAGGTGCACGTTTCAGAAGGTACATTGTGTTTTTACTTACGGATGCTTCATTGACATTGCAGTACTCAACTGGTTGATCGACTGCTGATGTTCAGATTCTGCTATGTGGCACGAAAGAAATAGAGGTATTTCTCGTGTGAATGATTATGTATGAGAGATGTGTTAGTCATTCGAGTTGTGGAGTTATGATCGGCTATTGTGATTCATATGTTCTATGGATTTAGAGACTGGGGTCCTCAGAAGTAGATTATTTCATGGTTGTGGATTGTAAAGATGTGGTCAAAGTTATCTAGATGGTGGTACGTGTTATGATTGGATCAGTGTGGACTTTTGGAGGGCTATTTATCCATTTGGGGATGATTGAAGTTGGTTTGAGGGCCATTGGTAGGCTTGAAGAGGGTGTTTATTCTACAGCAGGTAGAATTTGTTGACTCAACACTGTTATTGCTGAAAGGTGTGTCATTCGGTTAGAGTTGAACCTGTTCGTATTCTGTTATTGCTGACAGGTGTGTCATTCGGTTAGAGTTGAACCTGTTCGTATTCTGATATGTTTTATGTGTTATTCTTCTATGCTACGAGGGATTGTGATTCATTGGTTATATGCACACATGATGCAATTCTGTTTGGGCCTTGTGGCAGAATTCAAGCGAGACGGTTATTGGGGTGTTGAATGGTTGATTACGCCGTGGTTATGGTCTTTCTAGGTTGTGATATATGGTGTTATTTGCTTCTCCATGGTTATGATCATGCACTCTGTGCACATGATGTCACATTGTGCGTGGTTGTTGATTTTAAGCATTATGACTTGAGGTATTTCATAGGACCGGTGTTTGGATGGGGTCACGCATCGCAACAGAGTTGTTTAGGGATATGATCCTTGAGATAGATTTGTATGTCTTGGTTCTGCTATATATGATGGGTTCATAGCATTGCAATTGTGTTGGTATTTGTTGAGCTTAAGGGATAGTTCTCTCGTTTGAGTCATTTTCCATTTTTGGTGCATCTAAATTGTTGCTTATTGGTTCATGGATTGCACAATTGGTGGCTTTTGGTTGTATTTGTGTGAGGCATGTCGATAGAATGGTTGTGTTTGATGAGATAAGGTCGTTGGATCTAGAATGTGTACTATCATACTTGATTACAGTATGTATGGAGGAATAATATCGAAAATCGACTTAGGATTTGACCTTGGTTCTTGTCGGACAAGAGGGGGATCCATGACTTGTTGATATGATAAGTGGTTATGAGTTTCTACATGTTTATTTAATCATTGGAAGTAAACGAAGGTTTTGGGACGAGCGTTTATTATATATGAGTTTTATTATCGGTACCCAGTATGTTTTGAGCAGTTAATGTGATCGAAAGTTATTGCTACGAGTATGCAAGATGTATGGTATATCATGCGATTTCATCTAGGTTCATGGTATGGCTCGATATAACTTTGTTCAGATTTATACAGTGTGTAAGTACGAGATTCGGGTCTTGTAAGGATTGCAGATATTGGAAATTGGGTTCTAAGCCTTATGGACTAAGGTTGAATTAAGGATATTCAGTTATTTTGTATTGTCAGGATATTATGAATAGGGTGACGTAGGATCACCCTCGGGTACGTGCATGGTAATATTGTACGACAATTCGATGGCTTTGGAATTACTCTTGGCATGTTTGAGGTTGAACGCATGTTTAAGTAGGGGAGGATGTAACGACTCGACCAGTCCTTTTGAGCATTTATACTTTGCTCGGTGGATTGAGGGCATAAGTGGCTCCATATTATGTAGTATGACTTGCGTGTATCATCGGTCTCGGTTTTCGGGTGATTCAAAATTAGTTTGGAAGAATGATTCTCAACTAGGAAGTTTTAAGTTTGAAGAGTTGACCAAGTTTGACTTTTGAGTATTTGGCTTTAGATCGGAGTTTTTATGGTTTCGTTAACTTAGGGTGGTAATTTTTTACTTGGGCATATGCCCGAATTTGGATTTGGATATTTCTAGAAGGTTTCGACACTTATTGGCGAAAATTGGAAATTTGAAGGTTTGGAATGTTCATAAGTTTGATTGACAGTTGACTTCGATGTTATCGGGTTCGAATTGTTATTTCGGGAGTTGGAATAGGTTCGGGATGTCATTTGAAACTTGTATGCAAAATTTGGGTTCATTCCAGATTGGTTAGGCTTGAATCGGATGGTTGATTCGAAGTAAAGGTGTCACACGGGCAAGCTGGCCCAGTTTCAGCCTGGCCTGGCCTGGGTTGGTAGTAAAGCGGGCTGAGCAGGGCTGCGTTGGGACAGGAATCGGCTTGTGCCATGTTTGATACATGTTAACGGGACGAGTACCACCCAGTAATGTCAAGTCATTTTTAATCGGTTTATCGGCCCGGCCCATACCGATTCGATGGCTAAGTTAATTTTTTAGATTTCTTTTACTTTATAATGTTGGTCTTTGCCAATGGTTAGCTACCATTTTGACTGTCACCCAATGGTTAATTAGTAAGAATAGCCCTTTTTAGGCGTTCAAAAATAACACTTTTATTATTTACTAATTAGCCCTCTGAAAAACTATAAATAGACCCACCCTCTTCTTCATTTATTCACTCATCTCTCAAATATCAAACCCAAATTTTCAATTCAAGTTAAATCATGTCATGTGCTTCTAGAGTGCACTCATATGTTTGGGAACCCTTTGTCATGGTAGGAGAAAATGAAGAAGTTCGCAAAGTAGAGTGCAAGAACTGTGGTCGAGTCTTAAATGTTCGTCGAAAGTGGGAGGCCACAGGATGTTTAAGGAGGCATATGAAGAGTTGTCCTGAGCATCCTCCAGAAATTTTATTTAAGATTTAAAGTTGATTTGTGTTTTTTCAACTAAGATTTCGATATAGAAGGATCTCTTTATTTCTTCACCGCGGATTCTCGCATCATTTTCTAGAAAAGATATTATATCACCATGGGAGAGTTTAAAATGAGTAATGTTAACCATTCCATTATTCACACAAACCCTTCAATGACTTATCGGCTGCCTTGCTTGAGGAATAGTTTCACAAAAATGAAGAGTCTTTCTTTCTGAAATCCACTCCTGAACTCACATCTTTTAGTACTGGGACTGAAGTTAAGTACTTTCGAGTTGCTCTTTGCCCAAAGCCCTCCTTCCGACTTAGTTAGAAATACCAGCTCTAAATATCTTTAGCATTTCTTGAGTTGAAACGGTATTTTTAGATTCTAGAGCTCAGGAGAAGGTTTGTAACCCTAATAGCATAATTGAATCAGTTTACCGGGATAATTGGTGTTATTTTAAAATTATTTGACTTATTTAAGCTTAATGTTTAGTTTATTAGACAGGTTAATTTGAAGTATTATTATGCAATAAAAATATGAATGAAAGCCTTTAAAGTTTATTCAAACATTCTTTTTATACGTTAGTTTTTAGTGTTTTATATTTTTACTTTATCTAATAATAAATTATGATTGTTATACAAAATACATAAGAAAAATTTAAACAAAATCGGGTGGCCCGGCCCATTAGGATCGGAAATGTTCCGATCAAGTAAACCTGGCAAAAATGAGGGGTCAATTGCGTTTTAACTTTAAAAATGTGGGTCAATTCGGTCGGGTTTATATATGTGGTATTATTTTCCAAAGGTGGCAATGGATGTGGATTTCTGTTAGCCAATACGGATATAAGTAGTTCGATACTTGGACGGCAAAGACAAAATTGATACCAGATTTTAACGAAGGTATAAGCTACCTACAAAATTAGGGCACACCAGTTCAGTTGAGAGATATACCTGAGCTGAAGATGAGGAGAATTACTGTGCGTTACTCTTCCCATGGTATTCCCTTTATCTCTTTCTTTGCTATTTCCCGTTCTTGTTCGGCAACTACTGTTAGAGTTTATTCTTCAAATCATAGTAATATGTCCATTTCGGCAAAGGCTATATTTGGGATAAATAGCAAGCTTGAGAATGTCAAGTGTTTAGATGATGATGTGACTCTCTTCCATCAAATGGTCAAAAAGCAGCATCTTCCTTCTGTTTTCGACTTCTCTAAATGACTCAAGACTATCCTAAATCTGAAGCGTTACTCTGCTGTTATTTCCCTTTTTCGAGAAATGCAGAAATTGGGTATCCCAATTGATGATTTCATCTTGAATATCGTGATTAACAGTTATTGCCTGATGCATCATGTTGATTGTGGATTTTCGGTGTTAGCCATTTACTTGAAAAAAGGCATTCCGTTTGATGTTGTAACCTTTATCACTGTAATTAGGGGAATCTTTGCTGAAAATAAGGTCAAAGATACAGCTGACTTGTTCAAAAAGTTGGTGAGGGAGAAGATTTGTGAGCCTAATGAAGTCATGTATGGAACCGTCATGAATGGTCTCAGCAAAAGGGGCCATACTGAAAAAACTGTTAGTTTGTTCCGCTTAATGGAACAAGGGAACATTAAGCCGAACATATGTAACTACAACATTGTCATAGATTCTCTTTGCAAAGATAGAAACTTAGATGCTGCTAGCAGCCTTTTGAACGAGATGAATAAGAAAGGCATTCGTCCAAACATAATCACATACAATTCATTAATTGATGGTTTGTGTAAGTTTGGTCAATGGGAAAAGGTTAGGATTTTGTTCTGTGAGATGGTAAATCATAATATTTATCCAGATGTGCACAACTTCAACATAGTGATTGATGGACTATGCAAAGAAGGGAAAGTTGAAGACGCCGAAGAAGTAATGAGACATATGAATGAAAAAGGTCTAGAGCCTAATATATTAACTTACAATGTGATAATGGATGGATATTGTTTGCGTGGTCAAATGGATAGAGCGAGGAGAATTTTCGATTTCCTGATAAATAAGTGCATTGAGCCTGACATTATTAGCTATACCACACTAATAAATGGATACTGCAAGAAAAAGAAGTTGGACGAAGCTATGCAATTGTTTCATGAAATTTCCCAAAAGGGATCAAAGCCTGATATAGTTACCTATAATACCATCTTGCAAGGTCTATTTGAAGTTGGACGGATTGGCTCTGCAAAAGAGTTCTTTGATGAGATGCTATCTACGGGGCTTGTACCCGATTTATGCATTCATGGCACATTGCTCAATAGTTATTTTAAGTATGGACTTGTTGATGAAGCTATGTCACTCTTTAAGGAGTTGGAAAGAAAGAGAGGAAAGTCTGATATTGAATTTTACAATGTTGTCATTAATGGATTGTGCAAAAATAGAAAACTTGACAAAGCTCATGCTATTTTTGAGAAGCTTTATTTTATTGGATTGCTTCCGAATGTGAGAACATACACTAAAATGATAAATGGACTTTGTCTTGAAGGGTTGTTAGATGAAGCTATAGATATGCTAAGAAAAATGGAGGACGATGGTTGTTTGCCAGACGGTGTCACTTACAACGTTATAGCGCAAGGATTTCTGAGGTGCAACAGAATTATTGAAATGGCAACTTTTATGAAGGAAATGGCTGGAAGGAAATTCTCATTTGATGCAACTACAACTGAGTTATTGGTAAATGTTATAACGGAGAATCCTTCTGTCCTTGACATGATACCAGAGCTTCACTTGAAAAATAACAAGTGAATATTTCTTTCGCTTGGTTTATCCGGCTACACTATCACCGCGATACAATTTCCTTTTACCTCTTAAAAGAAATCGCATCTGATGCAATCACATAATCTGGAAAAAAAGGCAATTAGAACATTTCTCGAGCTTTCCAAGCATGCCTATTAAGGAGGTACGTCAATTTTATTACGTTGATTATTTTCCGGTCTTCTTTATTGTAGAAATAAATGTTATTGCACTCTTAATTGGAGAAATAACCATTTGGTATTCGCAACCTAGAGACTCGACTAATTCATATTCGCACGCGTATATGGCCTATTTAAGGGGTTTTGTTCTTTACCCAGGGGTTTTTCCATTCCCGGGACTCTAACTCGAAACCTCTTGGTTCATTTTTAAGTATCAATTGTGAAGAAGACTTTTCTGATACAGTGATACTAAGTTCGTATCTGATGCTTTTGATGTTCGTTCTCTTTGGTGTCTTTGAGGATGAAAAAATTAATCTTCTCCTGAACTTTGGATTTTGTTAGTATTTTCCTTTTGTTTATTTTCTACAGGAAGAGGTTACGAAGCCCTATTTTTTTTGTAACAATTTCTAGTCTTAGGCTAAGAAGTGTATTACTTGTCACCGGATGGCCAAAATAAATCATCATATAATTTGATTGTTGGCTACGCCTTCTTGACTTTTTCTTTTATCTCTTTCATACTTTATTCCATCTTCAATCTTCGTAGAATAACTAGTCTTATGTAATATGAAGACTTCACTCTTTTCCCATATTTACCTTTCTCCATTTGTTTTTTGGCTACATAAATTGTGTTCTTATGACTTGCTGCATTTGTTCTTTAATGGGCGGATGTGCGTGAAAATGTAATGCGGGGTAGGGCGGGTTAAAATTTTAGGGGTTAACTGCATCGTTTCCCATCTCTAGTCTTAGTTGTTTAGTATATATTGTCCCATTTCTTGGCATAAAACTCCTGCTACAACCCAAAACTTGGCACTATTTTTCATTTTGCACTCTATCTCTATTTTGTTTCATTTTGACCCTCCAACTCTATTTTATATGTTTATTTTGGCCTTCCAACTCTATTTCTTATAGTAGACCAAACCTGTCTAACGGGCCGGCCGGTCTGGTCTGGGCCAATTTTTTTGACCCGTTCGGGTTCCGGGCCGGGCCGGATTGCACAGTAACGGGTTCGTAGCGGGCTGGGTTAGTTCGGGTAAAAATTGAACCATACGGGTTACGGGTTGAGGGGGCCGGGCCGGGCCGGGTTTAGTATATTTTCATTTTTTTTTTTGGAATTATGTATAGTATAACTATTAAGTTATATTAATATTTTGTAATAATTGAATGAATACAAGTAAGATGGGAAAAAATTGCACTTATTGCAAGTGCTACTTTATTTCTTAATTTCAAGTTGAAAAAGTAGAAAATGAAATGTTTACATTTTTTCTAACAAGTAAACTAGTAAAGTAGTAATTTCAAATGTTTTGCATCGCCCTAGCAAGTTCATCATGATCAATATGAACCGATTGACCTTCTTCTGGCGTGTTAAATTCGGATGGGTTTCCATGGGTTAATATATCTCCAAGTTCCTCGTCTTCTGGGCTATCAACATCTTCATTTCCTTGATTTCTTCGTTCCGATCTAATCCAATCTCTGAAACATACTAAAACTTCCAAAGCATTGCTTCTCAATGAGTGGCGGGTGTTTCCAAGTTGTTGTCTTGCTTGGCTAAATGCACTCTCCGATGCAGCAGTAGAAATTGGCACATTCAGCACGTCCCGAGCCATAGCGAAAAGAACAGAAAATTATTTTTCATTTTCATGCCACCATCCTAACGGTGAAAATTCCTTTGTGCGAGGCTCATTTTGCTTCTGCAAGTAGAATTGAAGTTCATCAATATTCCTGCTACTGGTTTGAGTGTTAGAAAATGTAGAAAAAATATTAAAACTATCAAGGCCTTCTTCATCATCCACAGTAGCAGAACTGCTACATTGCATAGCGGGATTAACATTGCCAGAAGCACGAACAGTATTATCACATTCATTTGCATATAATTATATAGTTGTTGTAAATATTCATTTAGCTTGTTCATAGAATCATATAAATTTGGGGTTTCAGTTTCTCCAATCTCCATATAAGTATATAAAATATTCATTAATTGTTGACAATCAGACATTTTAATAGAAGGATTTAAAACTGCACCAATTAAGTAAATCTGAGGAATTGAAAAGAAATATTTTTTGAATTTTGCTTGCATTTTTTCAACAACATCCTTATATTTTTCTTTCTTCTTAAATTCAGATAGTAGAAAAGAAATTTCAGCTATATGTACTAAAGCCATAGTAACAGTGGGGTAATATGCGCCAGAAAACATAACAGTAGCAGTATAAAATTTATTGAAAAATTTAACAACATCATTAATGACCTCCCAAGTATCACTTGTTAACATACGCCTAGGATCAGTACAATGTGCATTAGCAACTTTAGTTATTGGAAATCTATATTTGTAGCAATATTTTAAAAATATATATGTATAATTCCATCTAGTAACAATTTCGTCTGGCATGAATCTAGGTGTAAGGTTATACTGGATACACTTAGTCTTAAATTCTATTATTCTAGATTGTCTATTATTTCCTTGAATAACACCAACTGCTCTTCTAACATGAGTAATCTCAACTGAAAATAAATCAAGGCCACTTTTAACAATTAAATTATAAACATGACATGCACACCTAACATGAAAAATATCATCAAGAGGTGGTTGCAAATGCAATTTTAAAATTGAAATTGCGGCATTATTGTTTGAAGCATTATCAAAAGACATAAACAAAACTTTTTTGTTTAGATTATAAAATTCAACAACTTCAACAATAGTACTACTTATAAACGTAGCAGTATGACTCTGATCTTCATCATATTTAAAAGCGATAATAGGTTTTTGGATACAAGTATTATCATCTATCCAATGGCATGTAATTGTCAAATAATCATTTCCATTAACAGCATGGCCAATATCAGAAGTTACACATACTCTAAAAGGAAGGTGGCTAAACAAATAACGTATGTATGTTTGATATTGTCCATGAAGTCTAAAGATATCTGCTCTACAAGTACTTCTAGGGATACCTTTAAATAAAGGATTGTAAATCCTTTGAATATACATAATAAGATACGATGAAGAAGCAAAAGAAAAAGGTAGACTACCCAAAGCAATCATTTTTGCTAATTCCTCACGATCCCTCATTTTATCATATTTTACTAGACCTCCAGTAGTAGGGTTAATAGTTGTTTGACTTCCATCCCCATTATTGCCCCATTCTATAGGATAGTCAGATCTCATATGTCTACTAAGTGTCCCAGTCCCCCCTAAATTTCCTCTAGTCAAATGTTTAAAAGTTTCGTTACAAAATTTGCACTTAACTCTATTAGTACCTTCTATTATTTCAAAAAATTTTCATACCGGACTTCTTCTTTTACGATTAGAAGTCGGAGCCACTGGTGGTCTACCCCTTGTAGCACTAGCAACTCCAACTCCAACACTACCAACATTTCCACTAGTAGGTGTAGGTGGTATCTCATCTTCTATTCCAATTTCATTATCTTCTATTCCAAAATCTTCTTGTAATTGTTCATAATCTATCTCTACATTATCATTAGGCGATGATTCAGAAACATGTATTATTGGGTCATTACTATTACTACCGGAAGCTACATGACTACCTCTTTTTTTTATTTCCACCCCTACCAGTAACTTTTCTACATGCTCTTTTAGCAGCACTAAACATATTGTAAAAATTAAAGTATAAGCTAAAATTAAATATGAAATTAAAATATTAAATAAGAGAAAGAGTTGGAGGGAGTGCACTGAATTCGACAATAAATTGAGCACTTGATTACGCAATTTCGGTGTTACCACGAACAAACATCAACCAAGTATATTAACTTTGAATTTCAAACTTCGAATTTTAATTTTCAAATGATAATTTTCGGTAAATTAAACTCAAGAAAAGAGAGCCAAATAAAAATTATAAAATTAGAATATGAAATCTTGCAAATTGAAGGGAAGAGAGAATTTGAGAATTTGAGAATTGAGATTGAGATAAGAATTTTGAGTGAAGAAATGAAGAAGAAGGGGATGGTATTTATAGATTTTAAGAAGGGTTAATATTGTAAATTAATAAATACAAGAAAATAAATAAAAAATGGCCAATTTTGCAAAGAAATACGTTGGCCAACGGATCTGGACCAATTTTGACCGTTGCCAACGGTCTTGTGGGCCCCAAAAAGTCAGAAAATTAAAAAACATTACCGTTGTACCGGGCCGGTCCGGGCCGATTTACCCGGTACGGTCCACTGTGCATGCAGACCGGGCCGGTCCGGTCCGGTTACAACTTAAAAAAAACCAAACGGACCAACCCCCCTCCCCCCAC